TCACATACAGCTTGTGTAAGAAAAGGTAGAGGAGTTACTGTCCACTAGTCAATGTGATTCAGCTAGTCTACGCAAATGAGTATGGAAGCTCATCAATGTCTGAATTTGTTGACATGATAGCTCACCTGTAACGAAAAGCGTGTTTTTCAAATCTAAGTAGGTTACATAGAGGTAGGCCACTAGATGGTAGACTTGTTCTCACTGACGTGTATTATCCAAGTAGGAGTCACTGTTCAGGCAGGAATGTGGCTTCACATTTTAATTCAATATACCTCTTTATTTAGGTTGATGGCATGACATTGAAACAATGACATTGATTCAAACATACCATTTTACTATCAACATAGAAACAAGGTCAAATAAAATATGTCTAATCAAATATGAAATTCCACATCATTTAAACCACAACAATAACTGAGTGTATAAAACATTCAGAACTCTTTCCTAATATTGAGTTGCACCCCCTCCTTTTGCCCTCAGAACAGCCTCAATTTGTCAGAGCATAAACTCTACAAGGTATCGAAAGCGTTCAACAGGGATGCTGGCCCATGTTGACACCAATGCTTCCCACAGTTGTGTCAAGTTGGCTGGATGTCCTTTGGGTGGTGGACCATTCTTGATACACACGGGAAACTGTTGAGCGAGAAAAACCCAGCTGCGTTTAAGTTCTTGACACAAACCGGTGCGCCTGGCACCTACAACCATACCCCTTCCAAAGACACTTAAATTTTGTCTTGCCCATTCACCCTCTAAATTGCATAGGTACACAATCCATGTCTCAATTGTCTCAAGGCTTAAAAATCCTTGTTTAACCTGTCTCCTCCCCTTCATCTACACTGATTGAAGTGGATTTAACAAGTGACATCAATAAGGGATCATAGCTTTCACCTGGTTTCACCGGGTCAGGCTATGTCATGGAAAGAGCAGGTGTTCTTAATGTTTTGTACACTCAGTACAAAGGTTGAAAAAAAACATTTTAAGCTTCTACATGGTATTTTTGACGCAATTTCCATGTATAGATAGTTCTGATGATTATGTTCATGTATGAACCTGCTAGTCATTTCAATGTTTACAACGCTGGTTGAATTTAGATGAAATGAGTAATCTACTGGTTTATTATGTTTTTCCAAAACCAAATGTGTTTTCCACTTAGATTCCACGTCACAATAGGTTGACAAATGACAATGAAACAATGTTGACTCAACCAGTGTGTGCCCAGTGGGTTGTTACTCATATTTTGACCTGCAGTAATAATTGCAGGATACTCTAACTCTGCTAATACCTCCTGTAAACTATTGAAAGAATCGTTATATCTAAGGAAGTGGGCGTATAAACGTTGGTTTCACATTAGTATTTATGCGCAACATGTTTGTGGACGGCTGCGATTTCAGAAGTGTGTCCATGTGCAAGTTTGATCTCATTAACTTCTGGGCGATATCGATTCATATTGTTCTGCAATACGAAAAAGAGCTTGTGTCTTGACTTCACTCTGATCGACAAGAACGAATTGAAAATGTCAGAGGACCACGGCGCGCACGTTCTCAACATTACCAAATGTGAAGAAATTGACCTGTCTTTTACTCGCAGATTTTTACCAGCTGTGTTTGTGCTGGTGTTTGTCGTCGGAACTTTTGCAAACTTCTGTGGGTTAAAAACTGTTTGTACCAGCTGGAAGAAAATTGGAAGTATAAACATATTTATTCTCAACCTTGGAATAGCTGACTTGCTGTACCTATTTACATTACCATTTTTGGTTGTCTATTACGCGCTAAACAGTAAATGGATATTTGGACAAACATTCTGCAAGATCACCAGATTCTGCTTCAATTTGAATCTCTACTGCAGTATCGGGTTCCTGACATGCATCAGTATTTATCGATACCTTGGTATTGTGCACCCAATGAAAGTGATGGGAAAAATCAACACTCGACACTCCGTGGCAATAAGTTTTCTTGTCTGGATTTTGGTTTTCATTCAGATACTTCCCGATATGTTTTTTGACAAGACAGCGCCAAATTCTTCAGATGCGTGCTTTGACTCAACTGCCGACCACCTTATCAAGGATTACCTGCCATATAGCATTGGTTGGTCCGTTACCGGATTCGTTATACCATTGCTCATCATTCTTGCTTGCTATGGACATATAGTAGTGGTCCTTGCCACCAAAGCCAACGTCAATACTTTATTGAAACAGAGGTGTCTAAAACTAATCATCATATTGACTGTGTTATTCTCAATTTGCTTTATCCCTTACCATGTTTTGAGAAATCTCAATTTGAAGATAAGGATTTTGAAAATGGAAGGCACCTGCAACGCAAGCTTCGATGACATCTATGTTGCTCATCAAATCAGCCGCGGCCTGGCTTGCCTGAATAGCGCTATCAATCCGTTGATTTACCTAGTTGGAAATGATGATTTCCTCCTGCGATTTCATAATGTCAGCAAACAAGCCAGGATGTCTCTTGTTCAATGGACTGGTGCTGTAATTTACCGCAAGGCATATCCACCAACAGAATCATCTCAACCAGCTCACTTTAACCAGCTAGTTATTTAAACCAGTATTGTACCAAAGGCCTGTATGTAAATATGCTGTACTTTGTGCTTTATTCATAATTCTCAGAGTATTTTATTGTGTTAAGTGAGAGCCTATGAGTGGCTGAATGCGCTTGTGTAAAGTGAAATACTGTTCCATTTAGTCAGTGATATGTAGGGCTATATCACTGAAAAAAACAATATGCATCAATATGCATTTCCTATATTGCATACAGGTATTCCAGCAGCCTATGACATACCAATGGCTGAAGTATTCCTCTGTTGTCAATAAACAATAAAAATGTGTCAAGCTCAAAGGACTTTGTCCATCTTACCTTGTCTTTGAGATAATATAATGGTAGTATATCATGCTATCTACTCCTCCAAATTCTTGGCTTCCCAGGGGGAACAAAAGATTTGAACTGAGGGCAACAATCCCTCAACACCAACATGCACAGGAAATTGATGTCATACATGTTTATGAATGGCATATGACTGGTGAGTAGGGTTTTATGTGCAGGCTAGAGACTGGGGACTTGAGGGCATGAGAGAATAGGGCTCTCAAAAGTAGCACACTATAAAGGGAATAGGGTGCCTTTTGGGATTTTTTTTTTTAGAACCTAATGACAAATAGAGCAGTAAAAATAGAAAAACAGACACACATACACTTTCTCTCATCATTACTTAAAAAGAGGGTGACTGTTTGACTGGCTGGGATGATAACACATAACAGTTTATACCCTGCATAAATAACTTTCATTTAAGAACAGTTGATAAAAACAAAGCAAAGTCTGTTTGTGCGAGCATTCGAGTACAAGAAGTAGAATGTTTGCACAAAACAGGCTTAGTGAAAAGTCTCATTCTCCAGCAGCACAAGCATGCAGTGATATTTCGCTCCCTTCTGTTACCTTCACAGACCACTGAGAGAATTCCTGAGGAAGCTGGGGTTGGCATTAGTGCCAGTCCTATAGCGTCACGCTGAAATTATTGTGTCCTTTGGGCAAATCAGATGTCATTGTAGCCTAGATAAACCCAACCTCACTCCGAATCTACTTTCACTTTCACATACAGCTTGAGTAAGAAAAGTTAGAAGAGTTACTTTCCACTATTCAATATTATCTCGGTTGTCTACGCAAATGAGTATGGAAGCTTTGCTCAATATCTAAATGTACAAAGCTATGCAGTGTACATAGAGGTAGGCATCTAGATGGTAGACTTGTTCTCACTGAAGTGCATTACCCCTCATATACCAGTAGTCACTGTTCAGGCAGGAATCGTTGGACTGTGGTTTCACATTTTATTTCAATATTCCCTTTATTTAGGTTGATGGCAAGACGTTGAAACATTGACATTGATTCAAACATACCTTTTTACTATCAACATTGAAACAAGGTCAAATAGAATATGTCTAATCAAATATGAAATTAAAATAATTTCAACCACTCAATATATTGAATATAGGATCAAAAGGATTTTTAACGTGGAATCTTCTACTAAATTTCAACTTTACATAGTTCTGATGATTATGTTGAAATTAGACTGATGTAACAACCTGTTAGTCAGGTTAAGTCATTGTATTTAAGTTGAAGTTTTCCCCTAATTTTAATGTTTACAACGCTGGTTGAAATAAAATGAAAATAGTACTGGTTGATGACTTTTTACTAATCCAATTGCTCATTGTAACATAGCATAATAATAATATTACTGAAAAAACTATATAATTGATAACGTAATACTTACAGTTTATAGGAATTATGACTGACAGCTAAGCTTGCATATGAAGGTCACTTGGAGTTGACACCAACCTATTCTTAGTTACAGTAACTAAAAAAAATTAACTACGTATTTACTTTGAGGTAACCGACACAGCTGCAATAGGCCTCCATCTCCATCCATCCACCACCATGCGTTAATCAATTAACTAGTCAGTCATCCTCTCTCGCTCTCTCGCACTCTCTCTCTAGCTCTCTTTTTCTCTCTCTCTCGCTCTCTCTCTCTAGCTCTCTTTCTCGCTCTCTCTCTCTAGCTCTCTTTCTCTCTCGCTCTCTCTCTCTAGCTCTCTTTCTCTCTCTCCCTCGCTCTCTCTCTAGCTCTCCTTCTCTCTCTCTCTCGCTCTCTCTCTCTAGCTCTCTTTCTCTCTCTCTCTCGCTCTCTCTCTCACACACACCTTTTCTAAGAATCTTGACGATGGAGGTATTTAAAATAAAATAGATGATGAAATTCAATCAAACCTGCACTGTGGAAATTGTTATCACTGTTATTAAACATACTCTAAGTAATGCAAAGCATTTGACTATATTTACTGAGTTAAATGAATGGTGCTTTTGCAACAGCGCAGGAACCATGTGTTTGATTGAATCCTACCCTAACCTTCGATTCCTATTCTTATGTCATTGTCCAGTATCTTCTCTGACAGGGCCTGCCCATCTCTGGTGTCAGGGCTATTTCACTCTCCACGGTCCAATACTCTAAAGCCAGGGCATGGCTCTCCTGTAGGCTGTGAGTGGGGACTGGGGACAGTTGTAGTGGTGGCAGGAGCAGGACTCAATCATCATCACCTGCTGGTGGCTCATCCTGCCCTGGGGGCAGCGGAAGGCCATGCTGACGGTCCTGGTGCGGTAGGGGCTGCAGCAGCGGCCATCCGGACACTGGAGGCCACAGAACCGAGGCCTGTAGGTCCAACGTGCTCAAACAGCCCTGGTGCTCCAGATGAATGGGCACGGGAGACCTGAAGCTACTATCGCAGCCACCCATTCCCTGCAATACACATAACAGTGGACTTCAATTGAAAACATTGAATGATTTTAAATGATCTCTTACTTCAACTTGTAGTTGATCAACATGGACTTTGAAATATTTTGACATTTTGACAACTCTCAATGCAATTCTTCATAACGCAGTTCTTCTGATGGCACACATTTATGGTCAATTTATGGTCAATGCTGTATCTAAGCAAAGGTACAATGTAAATTATATCAAGTAATTCATCCCATTTGCCAAAAAGTGAGGTACGAGAATGAAAGCAAAACATTTCTAATGCCCAAACTGTGTCCACCCACCTCGAGAGGCAATCCATTCTACGTCAACTTACCTCGAAAACAAAATGGCCAGACAGCAGTAAGAGTATTTGCAAAGTGTTTGAGAGTGTTTGAGGTAAAGAAAGGCAGAGAGCGCTGCTCCCACTCACCGCCTGCGACCTGCTGCGAGGCACGGCAGTGGCCTGGCATGGCCTGACCTGGCACAGTCTGGTTTGGGTCTGCGGGCGACAGGCCCAGTTCTGGTTTGAGCTGCGGGTGGAGACACCTGGGCCACAGCTGCTGGAGCAGGGGCTCCAGTCTGTGCTCTGCTCAATGCAGTTGGAGTTCAGGCCCTGGCCCTGAGACTGAGCCCCACCCCCATCACCACGAAAGTCCTGACGCACCCTCTCCCTCTCTGGTGGTCTCTCCACTGGGTCGTGTTGAAAGACAAGGGCAATGTGATGCCATTAGTCCATTTGTATACTTATGGGGTTTGTTATGTGAGGTTATTGATATGGCTATGCTATTACACACAAAGGACATTTTATGTACATTTCTTGTCCATTAAATATGAATATTGTGGTTTTAAATGCTTAACTATATTTGACTGCTGGATTCAATACAGCCTGCCTATTTGTATGTTGTGACTACTCCTTGCACACACTTGTCTTCCTTTGAAGCATCAACAGGTTAGCTACAAAAAAGGGTAACACTTTACTTGAAGGGGTTATCCGTACATAAGGCATTCATAACACCTTCATGAACCCATTCATAACATGTGTTAAGAACGTTGTTATTAAGAACGTTTTTATGAATGATACTGTCCATTCATAAAGGTGGTATTTCATAAAGGTATAACGAATGCTTTATGTAAACCCCCTTCAATTAAAGTATTACCTCAAAACAATAGTCTAACTGTTATTAATACAGTATTGAAAATTATTCTATGATGTTATTTTGTCACCTGAATGCTACTGTGGAAACACTGCCATGCAGGTTCAATTGAACCCTTTTGTCAAAAAAGGAAATAGTTGAAATACAACCAAATTCCTCTATGTTGTACACCTGAAGATGTTTTATCCTGGCAAACAAGCAGTAAATCTCACTGCAGCACTTAAGTTATTTCAAGACGTTAACGTCACACCAAGTTGTTGATACATGTTTTCAACATTTTGACCAAGGGATCCAAGGGATTCTCTATTTTGTTACTGTGATGTGTAACTTAGAATTATTCATTTGTAGTTAAAGGGATACTTTGGGATTTTGGCAATGATGCCATTTATCTACTTCCCCAGTCTAGCATTAACGCAATGAACGGAATGCTAGCAGATACCCATAGATTTCCAGTCATTGTGCTAACGCTAGTTTGCATTGGCTCGCGAAACTACCTCTAACTTCCTTCATACTGGACACACAAACTTAAAAATGGTTTCCATGAGTTCATGTCTCTGGGGATGTAGATAATGGGCATCATTGCCAAAATCCTGAAGTATCCCTTTAAGTATATAAAATAAATGAAAAAGAAAATGAAAGAAAAATAATTATTTATATTGGGACCACTTTATATGGAATGTCTCCTGCAGATTATCTGTAGATGCAAAAACAGATATACTTCGCCAACCTGTAAAGTTTTTTTTAAAGATTGTTATTTTAAAGAAAATGGACACTTGATGGAAAGTTCAGCCTGATCGCCAGCTTTAGGCTTCTTTTCAAAAATATTTGTACAAGGTAGTTACAGGATGAGGTTGGGCGGCGTTGTGGTATTTGTCCATGCGAGGGAAGCGGAGTAGGCGTTACCAAGTTGTAGAAGAGTTGCTTGCAAGGGTGTGAGACATTCCCGTGTGAAGCATAAAAAATGCAGTTTTTTTTTCAGTATGTTTTCTATGTTTTAAACTCTCCAAAAGTCTTATTTTAATTATAATCTCACCAGAGTTATGCCTCGACTTAACCCTCAAGGTTGTTGTGTCCTATAAATCATAATTTAACCAAATTATGACATATAGGACACAACAATGTGGAGGGAATGTCGCAATTGTCACGAGTGAATGAGCCCCGCATCTTGCAACATGATTGCGCATTATGGCAACCCGATCTCACATCGCAAGGCATTTCGCGTCTTTAGGAAAAATGTCATATATAGCAGTGAGTTTAAGAGATCATGGTGGATCATGTTAGACGAAAATCTGATTAAGTATGTGTCACCCAATTTTATATATATATACAGTTGAAGTCGGAAGTTTACATACACTTAGGTTGAAGTTATTAAAATTCGTTTTTTTCAAACACTCCACAAATTTGTTGTTAACAAACTATAGTTTTGGCAAGTCGGTTAGGACATCTACTTTGTGCATGACACAAGTAATTTTTCCAACAATTGTTTACAGACAGATTAATTCACTTATAATTCACTGTATCACAATTCCAGTGGGTCAGATGTTTACATACACTAAGTTGACTGTGCCTTTAAACAGCTTGGAAAATGTCATGGCTTTAGAAGCTTCTGATAGGCTAATTGATATCATTTGAGTCAATTGGAGGTGTACCTGTGGATGTATTTCAAGGCCTACCTTCAAACTCAGTGCCTCTTTGCTTGACATCATGGGAAAATCAAAAGAAATCAGCCAAGACCTCAGAAAAAAAATTGTAGACCTCCACAAGTCTGGTTCATCCATGGGAGCAATATCCAAACGCCTGAAGGTACCACGTTCATCTGTACAAATAATAGGATGCAAGTGTAAACACTATGGGACCACGCAGCCGTCATACCGCTCAGGAAGAAGACGCATTCTGTCTCCTAGAGATTAACGTACTTTGGTGCGAAAAGTGCAAATCAATCCGAGAACAACAGCAAAGGACCTTGTGAAGATGCTGGAGGAAACAGGTACAAAAGTATTTATATCCACAGTAAAACGAGTACTATATCAACATAACCTGAAAGGCCGCTCAGCAAGGAAGAAGCCACTGCTCCAAAACCGCCATAAAAAAGCCAGACTACGGTTTGCAACTGCACATGGGGACAAAGATCAAACTTTTTGAAGAAATGTCCTCTGGTCTGATGAAACAAAAATAGAACTGTTTGGAGGAAAAAGGGGGATAGCTTGCAAGCCAAAGAACACCATCCCAACCGTGAAGCACGGGGGTGGCAGCATCATGCTGTGGGGGTGCTTTGCTGCAGGAGCACTTCACAAAATAGATGGCATCATGAGGAAGGAAAATTATGTGGATATATAGAAGCAACATCTCAAGACATTAGTCAGGAAGTTAAAGCTTGGTCGCAAATGGGTCTTCCAAATGGACAATGACCCCAAGCATACTTCCAAAGTTGTGCCAAAATGACTTAAGGACAACAAAGTCAAGGTATTGGAGTGGCCATCACAAAGCACTGACCTCAATCCTATAGAGCATTTGTGGGCAGAACTGAAAAAGCGTGTGCGAGCAAGGAGGCCTACAAACCTGACTCCGTTACACCAGCTCTGTCAGGAGGAATGGGCCAAAATTCACCCAACTTATTGTGGGAAGCTTGTGGAATGTTACCCGAAACGTTTGACCCAAGTTAAACAATTTAAAGGCAATGCTACCAAATACTAATTGAGTGTATGTAAACTTCTGACCCACTGGGAATGTGATGAAAGAAATAAAAGCTGAAATAAATCATTCTCTCTACTATTATTCTGACATTTCATATTCTTAAAATAAAGTGGTGATCCTAACTGACCTAAGACAGGGAATTTGTACTAGGATTAAATGTCAGGAATTGTGAATAACTGAGTTTAAATGTATTTGGCTATGGTGTATGTAAACTTCCGACTTCAACTGTATATACTGTATATATACACTACCAGTCAAAAGTTTGGCCACACCTAATCATTTAAGGGTTTTTCTTTAATTTTACTATTATTTACATTGTAGAACAATAGTGAAGACATCAAAACTATGATGAAAACAGGGACAAAGTTGTGGAGAAGTACAGATCATGGTTTGGTTATAAAAAAATAATGGAATCATGTAGTAACCAAAAAAGTGTTAAACAAATCAAAATATATTTTATATTTGAGATTCTTCAAATAGCCACCCTTTGCCTTGATGACAGCTTTGCACACTCTTGGCATTCTCCCAACCATCTTCACCTGGAATGCTTTTCCAACAGTCTTGAAGGAGTACCCACAAATGCTGAGCACTTGTTGGCTGCTTTTCCTTCATTCTGAGGTCCGACTCATCCCAAACCATCTCAATTGGGTTGAGATCAGGGGATTGTGGAGGCCAGGTCATCTGATGCAGCACTCCATCACCCTCCTTCTTGGTCAAATAGCCCTTACACAGCCTGTGTGTTGGATCATTGTCCTGTTGAAAACAAATGATAGTCCCAATAAGCCAAAACCTTATGGGATGGCGTATCGCTGTAGAATGCTGTGGTAGCCATGCTGGTTAAGTGTGCCTTGAATTATAAATAAATCACTGACAGTGTCACCAGCAAAACACCCCACACCATAACACCTCCTCCTCCATGCTTTACGGTGGACTACAGACCAAAGGACAAGTTTCCACCGGTCTAATGTCCATTGCTCGTGTTTCTTGGCCCAAGCAGGTCTCTTCTTCTTATTGGTGTCTTTTAGTAGTGGTTTCTTTGCAGCAATTCGACCATGAAGGCCTGATTCACACAGTCCGCTCTGAACAGTTGATGTTGAGATGTGTCTGTTACTTGAACTCTATGGAGCATTTATGTGGGCTGAAATTTCTGAGGCTGGTAACTCTAATTAAACTTATCCTCTGCAGCAGAGGTAACTCTGGGTCTTCCATTCCTGTGGCGGTCCTCATGAGAGCAAGTTTCATCATAGCGCTTGATTGTTTTTGCGACTGCACTTGAAGGAACCTTCAAAGTTCTTGAAATGTTTAGCTTGCTTGGAGTTTGCCAAAAGGCACCTAAAGGACACTCAGACCATGAGAAACAAGATTCTCTGGTCTGATGAAACCAAGATTGGCCTGAATGCCAAGCGTCACGTCTGGAGGAATCCTGGCACCATCCCTATGGTGAAGCATGGTGGTGGCAGTATCAATCAATACCCACGAAGACATGAGGCTATAATCGCTGCCAAAGGTGCTTCAACAAAGTACTGAGTAAAGGGTCTGAATACTAATGTAAATGTGATATTTCAGTTTTTTATTTTTAATACATTTGCAAAAATAGCTAAAAACCTGTTTTTGCTTTGTCAGTATGGGGTATTGTGTGTAGATTGATGAGGGGAAAAACCTATTTAATACATTTTAGAATAAGGCTGTAACGTAACAAAATGTGGAAAAAGTCAAGGGGTCTGAATACTTTCCGAATGCGCTGTATATATAGATATAATTTTTTGTTTATTCACTATTTCTCCATTTTATCTTTTTTTATGCACTTTGAGATTATTTCTGTATAATGAAAAACACTTTACAAATGTAATAAATTATTATTATTAATTATTCCTATTCAAATGGGCAAAGGACAAAGACTTATTTTCACATTTTTGCCTATCAAGTTCTGTACCTGTAGCCATAGTGTCTGCGTAAATATTGTTGTCCAGGCTTTCACAGACCCACTCCCTGCAGCACCTCCCTGGCTGGCGCAGTAGCTGGGGGTTGGGGCAGTTGGCTGCGGCGGGCACCTGGAGGTCATCGCTGCACAGTGGCACACAGGTCACCCCGCCACCCAGGCAGTGGCACAGCTGTGCACACGACGGCTGGAATGTCTGGCCCTCATCGAAGCGCATGCCGTTCAGTTCACACCCCAGCAAGTTCTTGCCTGGCAACAGAGAATATGAACAGGAAATAACTAACAGGAATAGATGGGGAGAGAGACGGGGAAGCGAGAGAGTGAACTTTGCTCAGTTAAGTAGGTGAAGCAGATGGACAATGTATGTGGGGTCAAGTCTAGGGACAAGATATGTGTACTAAAATAACATTTGAGTCATTTAGCAGACGCTCTTATCCAGAGTGACTTCCAGTAGTGAGTGCATATTTTGTATTTTATTTGTAACACTACTAATGGCTGCCCTCTATTAACATCAATGTTGTAATACTTGTTGTATCCGACTGGAGATTGTGGGATTATTACCCATGGCTGCCTTTCACAATCCAAAATAACTTTGAAGTATTTTCCTATTATTTATGGCCATGGATTAGGACATTCAACATTAGTCTAAGTCAAAGACTTGCTGTGCCTGAAAACTGGGATACATTCTTACATCTCACTCCATTTGAGGTCTTATTATCATTATCGTGGTCACATAATAGATATGCTTTGAGGCCTTGTACAGTATTTGTCCCCTACAAAGTAGTCGCCTGGTCCCAGATCTGTTTGTGCTGTCTTGCCAACTGTACTGCTTTGTCGTCTTGCAGTTGGATCTTACAGTTGGCAAGATACCACAAACTGATATATCTTACAGACCTGGGACCAGCTTAACCAGCTTAACAGGGTAGCGTTGTACTCACTGACACACTCTCCAGGACCTCCGGGGTAGCTGGCGCTGTAGTCACACTGCAAGCCCAGCTGGCTGTCACACACAAACCTCTCCGTGCAGCCTTCGCCCTCCTGTCTGGCGCACACCGGGCAGCAGCGGCACCCATCCAGCACGGTGGGCACCCCCGGAGGGCAGCGTGGCGTGGGCCAGGGGCAGTTGTGGCACGGGCCCCCACATAGCTGGCACCACACCTAACACATATTGGTTTACAGTAGGTTGATTAACTGTAGTGGCGTTTGTGGAAAAAAATATGTGTGAGACTGCAGTTTTCTCCTGTGGCCTTTTGTTGACTGTATGGGTTAAGGCTTTTTTGTCTGTGACTGTACTATAAATGTTACTGTACTTTTGTGTATATTTGTTTGTGTAACCTGTAGGGTTGCAAAAATCCTTACAGTTTCCCAAAATCCCAGTTGGAGGATTTCTGGAATTAGCAGGGAATAAGCTGCAAGGGAATCCTATAACCTGGAATTCTTTATCCATGAACATCATGCAGGATATATTGCACTAATATTACGCACAAAAACCATAAGCTGGTCATTCATAGCATCACTTAAATTCATGTCAAATTTGATCACTTTTTTGCACTGCAGGAAATGCAGATAAGCTTTGTGATTTACATAAATTCACTTAAACCCAGCACTAAAACACAGCTATATTAACAGTATTGCACTATTCATGTAGCCTAATTTTGTTCAGCTAATAGCCTAACCACCAATCAAGCAACATTATGGACTAAACATTAAAATCCAGTTGATGCAGGATTATTTTGCTGCGACAATACTGGTCAAATTGCACTGCACTCTTGCAGTGCAAACGCATTGCACTCTTTTTGTTTATAAAGCCCTCCAGCATAAACTTCCAGCATATCTTACCTTGTTGTTAGCTTATGAGATACCAGACCAGGTTTCAGGGATGGCTAACTCTGGAGATCCCTTCAATCTCCACTGAGTTATGTAAATCAGTTTTTAGTTTTTTTGCACCTTACTTGTGGAATAATCTCCAGGGCTCTCTAAAATTGGTTGAATTGGTGCCTCTAGGGCAATTCAGAAGGCTGATTGATGACCTTTTTACAGAAAAATGTGTTTGTTTTCTATAATTGTGTTTTGCTTTTAGTATATTGATGTGAATATTGATGTGTATTATTGATGTGTATCAGTGGCGGTCGGTGCCGTTTAAGATGAGGGAGAACCCATTTTTGAACCCATATTGGATGACTGTCATTCATATTCCATTCACCCAGCTCAATGTAACATCGATAGTTTTAGGCTACTAATGTACATGATACTTGACTTTTCCATATACCCATCATGAGGTTGCTACGACTTAGCCTAAGAATGAAAGTTTACAGCGTATGTGCACAGGTTTACAGAATTTCTTTAGTATCAAGGTGACAGACAGTGACACATTCAATACCACATTGCACACTCTTACCTGCATCTAGCTGATCTAGGGTGTAATCATTAGTCCAACAGTTGCAAATGAGAGTTTCGATAGGACAAATTCAAATATGTTTATCCCCATTTCTTTCTGTTTGCTTACGTTTAAGAAATGTTTTTCAACTGAATTGATGGAATGAATACACCTCTGATCACCCACAAATACAGTTCACTTTCATAGCAGCACACATAAAAACAGCATGATCACTTAGTTTGTTGTATAATTCCTATGCGCTGTCCTCCTCTCAACTTTTACATTCGCTTGTGGACTTCAGTGCACAATACAACAGCTGTCTGTGACCAGGAGAAAAAAAACTTTCCAAGCCAAGCTATCATACCATAACCGCTAACCGCTACACACAGCCTACATCATTGTCACCATATTAGCTAACGTCATAGTCAACATAGCTACTAGAACTAACGTATTAGTAAACCCGCTTCAATCATGCAGTACAGTGTACAGTCAGCAAGCAGTTTAACAGTTACACCGGCGGGCCCCAGTGGCAATAAATTAATAAAACCAAAAGCTTACCTTGACTTGGGAGAGTTCCAATGTTGAATAGCCATCTAGCTAACATAGCATCCCTTTCTGTTTGAGCCGGATGTTTGAGTAGGCTAAACTAGCTAGCTGCATTCATCAGCTAAGTAATTGAAAGTGAGAAAAAAAAATTCAACGAAATATAGCTAGCTCTCTCTCTCTCTCTTGCTTCTCCTTCATTTTTGAAGAAATTAATTTGTTCAAAACTGTTCAACTATTGTCTTTCTCTCTCTTTGAGTCAACTACTCACCACATTTTATGCACTGCAGTGCTAGCTAACTCTAGCTTATGCTTTCAGTACGAGATTCATTCTCTGATCCTTTGATTGGGTGGACAACATGTCAGTTCATGCTGCAAGAGCTCTGATAGGTTGGAGGACATCCTCCGGAAGTTGACATAATTACTGTGTAAGTCTAAGGTAGGGGTTGAGAACCATGAGCCTCCTAGGTTTTGTATTGAAGTCAATGTACCCAGAGGAGGACAGAAACTAGCTGTCCTCCGGCTACACCATGGTGCTACCCCAGAGAGTGCTGCTGAGGCTAATGTAAAGCTTCATTGAAAAACTGTGTGTTTTAATCAATTATTTGGTGACGTGAATATATTTAGTACAGTTTTATCTAAAAATTATAACTTTTTCAATGTTTCACTATTTTTATTTTTATGAAATTCACTGAGGAGAATGGTCCTCCCCTTCCTCCTCTGAGGAGCCTCCACTGAGTGTATATTGATGTTTTTTATGTGTATTGATGTGTATGCAGGGCACATCTGAGAAAGAGACCTTGGTCTCAGCATGACTCCCTGTTGTAAGTTCCTTTAGACTATTGCTGTATAGACAAAATACATAACCGCAAAGGAGTTCTACTAGTTCTGTGGAATATAGCCTAGAGAGGTCTTCAATCTCTTGCCTCCTGGAGTCAAATACATATTCTTCACGTTACGCAATACACAACTTTCCAACCTCTCAACGCGGAACATCTCAACCCCCAGCATCCCTATGACATGGGCAAACATCCAATCGCTCCAACGAACATCCAACTGTGTTGTGTGTTCAGCTATACCACAACGCTCTACTTTCTTGTAGACGTTTAGTATCAGTTTGTGAACCACCATATACTATTCACTTACCAAAAACAAGTGCATACAGTATGTTGCAAACAAGTTCATCATCCCATGACATCCCTCAAACATTGAATTCCATTTATTCCCCAAAATATCACAAGCTTACTTTGACAAATTAAAGATGTTTGACAACTTGAATTCTTGAGGACATTCTTGAGCTTGACCACCCTCACCTGAGTGATGATACACAACAGCAGGGAACCAACGAGCGTAGCGTCTCTTCGGTCCATCTTCAGGGCTTAGCCAGTTCTCTCTCGCTCTCTCTTTATCTCTATCTCCTCAAGAAAGCCGCGATGCCATTAATGCTGTGTGTTAGCAAACTGCCTGCCTCTGTCCATTCATTTATAAAGTCTGCCTTCTGATGTCACAGACGGGGGACTGCAATGTAAATAGTTACTGGACAGGAATCAAAAATAGTTCTAATTCCACATTCCTGCAACCCATTTCCTTAGTCTCACGCTCTCTCTCTTTCTCTCCAAGCCAAGCACTTTTTCCGAAGACTTTCATGGCTTTTGGGGGCAGTTTAGACTGAAGTCCATATACTGTGTATTGAGGTGGTGAATTGTGCTTGTGATTGGTCGTGGCTGAGTTGAGTTGTCTGTATTTCTAACCGGGATGATGTTCCTGCTTTGACCTGGTGTTTTGTTGGCACTGTGTAATACACAGAGGTTCACCAAGGTAACTTCTACTGTATGCCCAACCTTTGGTTAGAGTGACTTTTAGTCTCTTGTGACAGACGTTAACACTTAAATATTAGACGGCGTGATTCTGTTTTGGGTGCTGAGATTAAGTGACTCTCAACTACACAAGTACAGCTGAAGTTATTTTCACTGTGATGAAACTTGTGGTTGTTCTACAGGCTAATAATAGTCACTTTAAAATTGTGTAGCATTACATTTGAATTAAGGCAACAACTTAGCCCTCAGAAGCCTGTACAGTATTATTTATTTCACTAGGTTTCAAAGTACTTTACATTGTAGGGGTAGAATGCCCCACCAATGTAGCTAAAATGTTATATGACCACTACTGTCCTACACTTACAACTTGCAACAGACTTCGCCACATCTGTCTACCAAAGACAGACCAAAGACTAGACCACTGTTTGCTTCCCTGCTTCCAAAAATAAGCCTTTACCTCAAGGTTGGATGTATTTTTGCCCACCAATACAGTGTGAAGGAAATGTAAATGACGCAGTCTGCTGAAACACGCTCAAGCATCTGCCGTTACGATAACATAACCTCACAAAGCAGCTTCTCCCCCATGACTTCACAGTTTCTCTATGGGGAGATCATATGATGTATTTCTCTCCCTCTGTGTGTTTTTCACAGAGTGAGCAAAACCTACAGAGCAAAGACCAACCCTGGCACAACTGTGGATACCGTCGTTCTAGATAACAATTTGAACATTTGCAGGAATGTTAAATCCACACACGTCCTTTGGCCCTTCTCTACGTTTTGTGGTAAAGTTATTTCCTTTGAACGTTTTTTTTCAGATTTCTCAGAACTCACTTCAGGTTTTGTGTGTTTGACAGGGTTAAAGGGATAGTTCACCCAAATCACAACATTGTATATTTGTTTGTTCCTTTACGCTAGCAGGCAGTCTATGGACAAGGAGAGACTGCAATCCATACTTTGGGGCTAGATTCAATCCGTAACGCGGAACAGCGGCGTTAAAATGTCAAGATAATATCCAATTGAGCCGACATATGCAGTGTTTACTGTGAATGCAGTCTCCGCGACTGAGGGAACATTGCCTTTAATTGTCAATCGCGCCATGGATTGAATAGAGCCCTTGGTTTTGGTTACCTACCAAGCCATAGTAATAAAGTTGTCCTCCAAAGAGATGGGATGGAGGAGTGGCTGAACAAATAAATTGCAGTCACTTCTCTTTCATATGTCTGCAAAAAACTATGTCATCTTATTAAGAAGTAAAATAATACTGTACACAAAAATAGAAATCACACTGCCTAGACACGGACACGAATTATCTGCTTAGTGTGTTAACACACTATTGGTGGTTTGTTGTGACCAAGTGTTGGTGCTAAACTGTGTGTTATTGGATGCTAGCATGCTAGTTAGCTATGGTGTCATAGTTAGCTAGCTGAATAAAGTGGGTTGAGTCTATTCCTTTAAACATTGAACCGCTGTGGTTCACAACAATTCTGATTTCTAAAGATGGAAGTTGGGAGAGTTTTTGTTCGGGTGGTTCAGTGAAACAATTATAGTTTCTGAGGTGGAAGTTTTGGTGAGGGAGGCCCTGCTCTCTCCTCTCCCAGATGTTTAGTTCATTTCATTCCGATCTCCTCTGCATTATTGTAGCCATTTGCTACAGCCTGTCAACTATGCCTCTGCCTATCCCTGTTCTCTCCTCTCTGCACAGGCTACACAAACGCCTCACACCGCGTGGCTGCTGCCTCTCTAACCTGGTGGTCCCTGCACGCACCCCACACCTGGAGTTCCAGGTCTCAGGCAGCCTCTGGAACTGCCGTTCTGCTGCCAACAAAGCTGACTTCATCCCAGCCTATGCTAACCTCCAGTCCCTCGACTTCCTGGCGCTGACGGAAACATGGATTACCACTGAAAACACTGCTACTCCTACTGCTCTCTCCTCGTCTGACCATGTGTTCTCGCATACCCCGAGAGCATCTGGTCAGAGGGGTGGTGGCACAGGAATCCTCATCTCTCCCAAGTGGACATTCTCAATTTTTCCCCTAACCCACCTGTCTATCTCCTCATTTGAATTCCATGCTGTCACAGTCACTAGCCCATTTAAGCTTAATATCCTTGTCATCTATCGCCCTCCAGGTTCCCTTGGAGAGTTCATCAATGAGCTTGACGCCTTGATAAATTCCTTTCCTGAGGATGGCTCACCCCTCACAGTTTTGGGGGATTTCAACCTCCCTATGTCCACATTTGACTCATTTCTCTCTGCCTCCTTCTTTGCACTCCTCTCCTCTTTTGACCTCACCCTCTCACCGTCCCCCCCTACTCACAAGGCAGGCAATACGCTTGACCTCATCTTTACTAGATGCTGCTCTTCTACTAATCTCACTGCAACTCCCCTCCATGTCTCCGACCACTACTTTGTTTCCTTTTCTCTCTCGCTCTCCTCCAACACTACTCACTCTGCCCCTACACAGATGGTAATGCGCCGCCGCAACCTTCGCTCTCTCTCTCCCACTACTCTCTCCTCTTCCATCCTATCATCTCTTCCCTCTGCTCAATCCTTCTCCCTCCAATCTCCTGATTCTGCCTCCTCAACCCTCCTCTCCTCCCTTTCTGCATCCTTTGACTCTCTGTGTCCCCTATCCTCCCGGCCGGCTCGGTCCTCCCCTCCAGCTCCGTGGCTTGATGACTCATTGCGAGCTCACAGAACAGAGCTCCGGGCAGCGGAGCGGAAATGGAAGAAAACTAAACTCCCTGCCGACCTGGCATCTTTTCACTCCCTCCTCTCTACATTTTCTTCATCTGTTTCTGCTGCTAAGGCCACTTTCTACCACTCTAAATTCCAAGCATCTGCCTCTAACCCTAGGAAGCTCTTTGCCACATTTTCCTCCCTGCTGAATCCTCCCCCCCCCCCCCCCCCCCCTCCTCTCTCTCTGTGGATGACTTCGTCAACCACTTTGAAAAGAAGGTTGACGACATCCGATCCTCGTTTGTTAAGTCTAATGACACTGCTGGTCCTACTCACACTGCCCTACCCTATGCTTTGACTTCTTTCTCCCCTCTCTCTCCAGATAAAATCCTGCGACTTGTGACTGCAGGCCGCCCAACAACCTGCCCGCTTGACCCCATCCCCTCCTCTCTTCTCCAGACCATCTCCGGTGACCTTCTCCCCTACCTCACCTCGCTGATCAACTCATCCTTGACCGCTGGCCATGTCCCTTCCGTCTTCAAGAGAGCGAGAGTTGCTCCCCTTCTCAAAAAACCAACACTCGATCCCACTGATGTCAACAACTACAGACCAGTATCCCTTCTTTCTTTTCTTTCCAAAACTATTGAGCGTGCCGTCTTTAGCCAACTCTCTTGCTATCTCTCTCAGAATGACCTTCTTGATCCAAACCAGTCAGGTTTCAGGACTGGTCATTCAACTGAGACTGCTCTTCTCTGTGTCACGGAGGCTCTCCGCACTGCTAAAGCTAACTCTCTCTCCTCTGCTCTTGTCCTTCTAGACCTGTCTGCTGCCTTTGATACTGTGAACCATCAGATCCTCCTCTCCACCCTCTCCGAGCTGGGCATCTCCGGCGCGGCTCACTCCTGGATTGCGTCCTACCTGACCGGTCGCTCCTACCAAGTGGCGTGGCGAGAAGCTGTCTCCGCACCACGTGCTCTCACCACTGGTGTCCCCCAGGGCTCAGTTTTAGGCCCTCTCCTTTTCTCCCTATACACCAAGTCACTTGGCTCTGTCATATCCTCACATGGCCTCTCCTATCATTGCTACGCTGACGATACACAACTAATCTTCTCCTTTCCCCCTTCTGATAACCAGGTGGCGAATCGCATCTCTGCATGTCTGGCAGACATATCAGTATGGATGACGGATCACCACCTCAAGCTGAACCCTGGCAAGACGGAGCTGCTCTTCCTCCCGGGGAAGGACTGCCCGTTCCATGATCTCGCCATCACGGCCTCCATTGGTCCTCCCAGAGTGCGAAGAGCCTTGGCGTGACCCTGGACAACACCCTGTCGTTCTCCGCTAACATCAAGGTGGTGACCCGCTCCTGCAGGTTCATGCTCTACAACATTCGGAGAGTACGACCCTGCCTTACACAGGAAGCGGCACAGGTCCTAATCCAGGCACTTGTCATCTCCCGTCTGGATTACTGCAACTCGCTGTTGGCTGGCCTCCCTGCCTGTGCCATTAAACCCCTACAACTCATCCAGAATGCCGCAGCCCGTCTGGTGTTCAACCTTCCCAAGTTCTCTCACGTCACCCCCCTCCTCCGCACACTCCACTGGCTTCCAGTTGAAGCTCGCATCCGTTACAAGACCATGGTGCTTGCCTATGGAGCAGTGAGGGGAACGGCACCTCTGTACCTTCGGGCTCTGATCAGTCCCTACACCCAAACGAGGGCATTGCGTTCATCCACCTCTGGCCTGCTGGCTCCCCTTCCTCTGCGGAAGCATAGTTCCCGCTCAGCCCAGTCAAAACTGTTCGCTGCTCTGGCACCCCAATGGTGGAACAAGCTCCCTCACGACGCCAGGACAGCGGAGTCACTCACCACCTTCCGGAGACATTTGAAACCCCACCTCTTTAAGGAATACCTGGGATAGGATAAAGTAATCCTTCTACCCCCCCCCAAAAAAAATTG